CACATCCAAGGATATCTTAGCTGCAGTTGCATTGCTGTCTCTCAGCATGGTGTACATGAAATTCTGCAACACCTAAAGAAAAAGAGGAGAAAGAAGCCTTAATACACTGATGGCACAATGCTGCAACATGGAAAACAAAAGGGTACTTACTACATTCACTTTATTGTTCTTGTGTTTTGCATTTATATTCTTGATATCAGTCACAATATGCGTGTATAAAGTCTGAGGAAAAGAAACAAAAACATATATATATTAACCAACATTTCAAACTTTGCTTAATTTGGAGAGAAGTACAAATGTACAAGAGGATTTAATATTAACTACTTTACATTTTATCACAAAAAAGACCAAAACCAAAATAAAAAGCAGCAGCTAAAATGCAAAAGGAAAACTGCCCTGAAAAGGTTAATCATGGAGTTACCATATCACCCAATAATTCCACTCTTAAATAGTCAAAAATGAAAACCACCCAAATGTCCAATAACCTATGAATGTGGAATAGTATTTGGCAACAAAAAAAAAAAATGAAGAAATACTAATATACGCTACAACATGGATAAACCTTGTAAACATTATGCTAAGAAGCCAGACACAAAAAGCTACATACTGAGTCCATTTAATGAAATATCTAGAGTAGGCAAATCAAAAAGACCAAAAATAGATGGGCGGTTGCCTAGGGATTGGGAGATGGGAGCATGGGGAATAATTGCTCATGGGAATGGGATTTCTTTCGAGGGTGATAAAAATGTTCTAAAATTGATTGCTGTGATACTTGCAAAATCTGTGAATATACTAAAAACCACTGAATAGTCCATTTAAATGGATGAATTGTGTATGAATTACAGTTGCTTCGTTTTCTGAGCCCCTAACTCCATGCAAGATCATGTTGGCAATACAATTATCATTGGTGCCCAAAGCATGTTCCTATAAACAACTTTTATCCCACAAATTAGACCAAGAAGTACAATTGCTAACATCAAATGGTGGCAGTTTCTAAACACTTTGAGAAAAACTATTAAGTTAATGAATGTGAACTTAAATTTTTCTTGCTTAAATTTCTTTTATAAACCTTCAGCTTCTGATCTTATGTAAGCAAATTCAAAGTCATAGGAAAACAGTAATAACAAAAAAGTGAGTTTCTTGGGGGCTGAGGGTGGGGCAGTTATGGCTATGAGTGTTCAGTCCACGCTCTGATTTGGTCAGTACAGTGCAGAGAAAAGGGCTTGGGTTCTGGAGCCAGACTGCCTGGGCTTATATTCCTGCTCCACCACTCAGAATCTGTGTGACTCTGGGCATGTTACTCTATCTCAGCCTTTTCATCTACAAAATACTACTACTACTATCACTACTACTACTAATAAATCCTATATCATTAACCGAGTAAACAAATAAATATCTAAAAAGCTCTGAGAATGGTACCTGACAAAAAGTAAGCATTTAATAAATGTTTAGCTATTACCACCATATTGCATGCAAAAAATGGTCTATTTTTTCCTATTAAAATTATTCTTAACTATATCCAATAATGTGAAGCATCAAGACTTCACTCTACAAGTTTTATGTTACTGCAAGGAAAAATGAGATATATGAAAAAAGCAATTTTGCTCTTTACCTTTCGCAGAAGCTTATCATGGCAACGCAGAAGTTCAAAGAACAGTTCTAGTAAACTTGATGGATTGATGAGATTCTTATTTCTCAGCAAGATCAAAGCTTTGCAAAATGTCTCAGGAAGGAAAAGAAAATATACTATAAGATAATGATAAAGTTAAGAAAATGGAGCATGTAAATCACAAAAGAGCCTATTAATCAGGCATCAGAACAGAGTCTCTGCCCTCATGGGCCTTACACACTGGGGGGTGTAGCAGAAGAGAGGACAGACAAGCAAGTAAGTATCTCAGATAATAAATGTCACAAAGGAAGTAAAACAAGGTAATATATATATGATACATTGTGGCTACCTTACACAGGGAGGTCAGCATCTGACAAAACCCCAGTAATCAATGAATCCACAAAGATAAGAAAGGTGGGTTAACAACAATAACATCATACACTAAACTGGAATAATCAATCTGAATTTGTGATCTTACAAGGCATTCTTTTGAAGTATTGTTAGTACTACAACAAAAGTTGCAGTACTCTTGCTTACCACCAACTTTTATGAGTACCCTTATCACTCAAATTTTTCCTCTAATTCTCTTCTCCATTGGATGGAACAAATAATGCTTGGAAAATAGCCGACTCTAAGGCTTGGGGCAGGACAAACAGTAAGAAAGGGTTTGGAACTATTTCTGCCAGAATGTAAGGATGCTTTAAAAACATCAGGGGTATTGCTGAAAGAAGAAGCTCCCACTGGACAGGTGGTGACAGTTTGAAGGTGGCCATCACAATAGCCAAGTAAAAAGAGGATCCATCAATATGTTCTAAATGATTCTTCTAAAAAGGAATGCTAATTACAGATTCAATCCCTTGTTTCTTAGCAAAGAAAAATTTTAACTAGTGTTTTAAAAACCTACTAATCATCATAAAATACTATAAAGAAACATACACACATTTTTTTATTAATAATTAGAGGCCCAGTGCATGAATTTGTGCACTGGTGGGGTTCAGCTGGCCCGTCCTGATGGGGCTTGCCATCGGCCTTGCCCCCTGGTCAAACTCCAGGTCAAACTCTCGGTCGAGGGGACATTTTGCATATTAGTCTTTTATTATATAGGATGCTTTGCAGACCAGTTTGGTTTGGTACTATTAGCCACACAAAACTTAAAGAAAGAAAACCTAATTACCTGGAAAGACACTGAGTCTCCATGCTCAAAATCTCAAATCGTACAACCCAGAGGAACTTGAAAAGCTCCATGACTTAAGTAAAAGGCTTCTGACTAATGGTTGGAGTTTGAAGCCTCCTGGGCTGTGCTGTCAGGTCCTATGACCCCAAGGGTTAACCAGTTGACAACCCTAAACCTGCAACCTTGGTTTGTCTGAGATGACCTTTTTTTCATTTGGGCCTAATCAAATTAATAAAATCTTAGAGAAGTTGCCCTAACCGGTTTGGCTCAGCGGATAGACCCTCAAGGGTCCCAGGTTCGATTCCGGTCAAGGGCATGTACCTTGGTTGCGGGCACATCCCCAGTAGGGAGTGTGCAGGAGGCAGCTGACCGATGTTTCTCTCTCATCGATGTTTCTAACTCTCTATCTCTCTCCCTTCCTCTCTGTAAAACATCAATAAAATATATTAAAAAAAAAATCTTAGAGAAGTATAAACAGAGTTAAACATATGGACTTAGCATTTTTACAAATTTTTGTATAAGATATCAATGTTTTGTGATCATAATATTTATGTAAGTTCTACTTGCTATAAAGGTGTTTGGAAAGCTGATGTATACAATTTTAAAATGCCTAAGGCTGAGTTCCCTAGAAGTAGAGCCCGAATCATTACAGTGGTTTGTCTAGAAGGGAAGTAAGGCAGTAAAATAAGGCAGAGAAAAGCTGAGCAAGGATGTGTCCCTGGCTGAGACTAGCTCTAGTCAAATCACAAGCCCTGGAGTACAAACTGCAACAGAGAGTGGGACCCACCTAGAGGGACAGGGTCAGGGTTTTATACCACTGGGTTGGTCAGGTACCAGCTGTGAGCTGCAAGGTCAACCTCTCAGGTACCAGGCCTCCCATTTAGCTGAGAACAATGCTCCAGAGAACGGGCAGCTGGGGGCCATTAGGCAGGGGAAATGGATGCACTGGCCTGGTAAAGGGATCTTGGCCAGGACCCAATGTCAACCACTAGAGTAAGAATATTTAAATGTTCAAACTGGCTATTTAATGGATAAATTTATTAAATTAAGCATTATACAAACCATAAGTTGAAATTAAAGTTCTTCAGGCATATGATATTTGAATGACTAGAAGGAATCACCTATTTAATAGAGAAAAGAACATCCTAGGAGGGTTAGCATGCTGAAAGATCAGAAAGAAGAGTATAACTGAAAAGACAATGAGATTACACACACACGCACGCACATATAGGCAGGAAGCAGATCATGTAAGAACTTACAGGCTACGATAATGCGTTTGAGTTTTATCTATAATAATAAAAGCATAATATGCTAATTAGGCTGGACATCCTTCTGGACAGCCTTCCTTCCAGACAAAGCCAAAGTGGGTGGGGGCTGAGGCAGAGGCGGCAGAGGCCACCGGCCGTGGTGGTAGTGGCGAGCGGGGGTTGGGGCCAAGGCCCTTGCACGAATTTCGTGCATCGGGTGTCTAATTCTAAGTTTAAATAAGAAGCCACAGAAGGATTTTAAGGGGTGACACATTTTGTTACACAATTTAGAAAAATGATTAGCCCAGAGGCTATTTTCATCTAAACACATATTATAAGAATACACATGAACACAGCACAAGTTATCAATCCAAATACTGGCTCTACCATTCGAAGATCTGGATCCAAGACAGTGTGATTGTAGGAAAGAAGATCTTTCAACTCTTGAGGAAAGTTACTTAAATGTTCCGGGTAGCAGTGGCCAATCTGTAACAAAACAAAGACTCTTCTGAAGTCTGTCTTTCTCTCCTATGATTCATGTGCATATATTTCGGATTTTCTGCAAAATTCTGCAAAAGGGGAATAAAGGCTATTTCATAGAGGTAGATGGCTCCAAACCATATCTTTTTCTTCTACAGGTAAATTTCTCTGACTCCTTTCATATTTCCCCTTAGTCTTATTAAAATATGTGTGACATGATTTAGAATCTGATTTTATAATGAATTTGAAGAAAACAAAAAGTCTGAAATTTTGCTCTGGATGGTTCTGTGAAAAGCTCTAGCAAAATCTTATATATTTAAAAAAATAAAAATTAAAAAAAATAATAAAAACATTTTTTTTAAAGGGGGAAAAATTTTTTTAAATGAAGCTTTCATTCCTGAATGGAATGAGGTTGGATATTACTGGAAAAACATTCTGCAAACTATGTGTAATAACTGGTCTTTGTTTTACACAGAAATTATCTTCTTACCTGTGCCATAAACATCACCAGCTCTGCCAGTTCTTTGCTGGGTTTATTAGGTTGCAATCGGAAAAACTCACCCTCAGAAAATTAGAAAAAAAAAATCTTCCAACTCATGACACAGAGAAAGTAAATTTGCAAAGAGGGAAAACTGCCTGGTTGTGGTGGCTCAATGGTTGAGCCTCGACCTATAAACCAGAAGATCACCATTCGATTTCCAGTCAGGGCACATGCCCAGGTTGTGGGACTGATCCCCCATGTGGGGTGTGTGGGAGGCAGCTGATCAATGATTTTCTCTCATCATTGATATTTTTCTCTCTCTTCCTCATCCAGTTCTTTGCTGGGTTTATTAGGTTGCAATCGGAAAATCTCCACATTGGATTTGTAGTGATTATACTGCTGTAGAAACTGTAGAAAAATGAAATTTACGATGGTCACCTTTTATTATATGACTTGCTCAGTATATTTAAGTCTTGGTTAGTGACATGGAGAAAATGATGTGGCAAAAGTATGTAGAAACTCTTTCCTTACCTGCACTTTCAAAATAAGTGTTGGAAACTTTATGTACATCACAGGTAATCTAAAGATCCTTTCCTTTATCATTAGAAATTTAGGTGGTGTGGTGTAAAGAACAGTAAAGCCAAGAGTCAAAAACTCAGGTTCTGGTCCTATTCTGACATTTACTATCCAAATGACCCTTACTACATAGTCTGTGCATATAGCACTTATATCAGCAGAAAAACACCATGTCAGAAAATGTAAATTATGTATTTCTTATGTACATGAAGCACTCCAGTCAAAATTCCCTTCTTCTTTTAAATGCCGATTTAGATTCTATCCTAGAGTTCTAGATAGATGTATTAACAGCCAAAAACAATAGACACACAGAAATAATGATAATAGCTTCCATTTGTTCATCACTTGCTATATGCCAAGCTCACTGTGTCCATTATCTCATTTAATTATGTTTAATCCTAACAACAACTTAAGAATGTTGAAACACCAGACATCAATTAGTTCCATGTATCTACTCTTCATCCATAGACCACAGCTTTGAGTGTGTGTGTACCAGAGAGTGAGAGAGTAAGAGACAGACAGACACTATGAAAGTGAATATTTCTTAATACTGCAAGCCCTATATGGTTAGTGACCTCCAAATCCATATATCCAATTAATTGTCTGATGTCTCTGTTTGGATGCCTACCAGACATTTAAACTTAGCATGGTTAAAAAAACATAACTCTTGATTTCCCCAACAAAACTGGTAGGCCTTCAGCTTTCTCCAAGAATAGGACTTCAGATAGCATGCAGCCCCTACATGCTTCAGGTAAGACCCCATCTCTCTTGACTTCCTACTGCCATTGACAAGAGTGAGGAGAGTACCCCAGAACTCAGTGTGCTTCCGGCAAGATCCTTTTCCCACTCCCACCCCAGCCCAGCCACCACTATCGAGGCATATTCATATACAAATTTAGTTTCTCCATAGTCCTTACCACTGTATGTCTACCATCAATTCTAGAACAAACGTCCAAGAGAAGAAGGCTCTCAGATCTGTCTATTGATCACTGTAACCCCAGTGCCTAGAACTGTACTGACACACAGTAGGTATAGTATGTGTGGATTTGCATATGCATTCACCAAGTGAATGAAAGAGCAATTCTCTGAAGTAAGAATTATGTCTTCCTTACATATTAAAAAGGCTCAGTGATTAATGCTTCCAAGTAACACAACTGGTCAACAGCAGGGTCAGGATTAGTTAGCTGTGAAAACAATGTCCTTAAACACAGCACTGTACAGCTAACAACTATTACTTTGTCAATGGTTGTGTACACAGCTTTACACATCGTCTCACCTATTACTTAATTTCTTGTATTTGTTTCTTACTCTTTATTTTCCTTGGAGAGGCTTTCTACACTGGTGACCTAAACCACTGGAACTGCTTCTTGGTAAAAAGCATTCAATTAAACATTTCTAAGTGAAAAGTTGGGGGAGGAGGAAAATGAGAAGGGCAAAAGATGAGTAACTGTGTTAGCCATTGAACAAACCACCATCTAGTGAGGAAGCAGCACAAACAAAGGCATCAGATGCCTAGCAGGTATCTCATTAACGCCCGCAGACACCGGGTGCCTGAGGAACACAACTGCCAAATTAATACAGTACCAAAATCACCACTTTCATTTTGTCGCTTCTTGGCTCAAACACCCTTAATGTTCACAATCTGTATGAAATCAGTATATACAGTCCCTCGCAATCTGAACCTAACCTAATTTTTAACCTCATCCTTCCCCGAAGCAAATTCTGACATCCAGGTCATGCCCGCTTCCGATGCGACTGAATACTGATTTCACAAACTAGACTAAGCCCCTGTCTATCCTTATACGTGAGAATTCACCTCCTTCCCGACACAACCCACCGCAGAGCGCGGGGCAAACAGACGTCAGTCGCACGCATCCTGAGAAAAGACACGTCAAGTGTTACCAATGAATTCAAGTTAGGAGTTTCTAAAAAGAAAAGGCAGAGAAACCGACAGGGAAGTTGGAGGTTGGAAGCGCGCCATGTCTCCCTAAAGCAAAATGCGGTATTTAAAGGTCTACGGAGCAGGTAGAAAAATCCGAAGGGACAGAGTTCCAAGAGGTGGACCACGCGCCTTAAGGCATGTCCCTTTCCCGGCCCCTTCTCCCTTCCCGACAGACCCCAGAACCTAACGGTAGCACACGCGGCCAGCCAGGATCCCCAACTCCACTCCACGCCTCCCCAACCCCACTCGTGTCAACCAGGCGCGCCTTGGCCTCTAGCGTCGCCGCGGCGCAGTCCCACCTCCTCCACGTAGGCCGGCGGGTCCCGCTTGATCAGGTTCTGTAACTGCGGCAGGTTGCTGGGCAGTTTGTTGTTGTTTCTGCTGGACATTTTGGCTGCTGACGAACTCTGCGGCGGGCAGTTTTAAAGAAAGAAAGAAAGAAAAAAAAAAAAACACCCTACACCGATGGCAATTACCACCCGGCCCAGATCCTGCCGGGAATCGTGCAGCACGGCAGGACCGGAAGCAGCACGTGGGACGCGCAGCCAGGAGCTAGACTACGGGAGCCTCCGAGGGTCAAATTACCTTCACGGCCTTCTCGCTCTGCGGTGGCTTTTACGACACTTTTATTCCTCGGCCAACCGCTGCTACTATCAATCGTTTCTGAAACATTATGAAACGCAGTTTGTTTGTTTGTTTTCCACACACGTTAATTTATTTCATCATCCCGACACACTCTTGGGAAACAGATGAGGCTTATTAGTTTGCTTGGTGTTTTAATCCCACAGCCTAAAGTTAGGAGCTAAAAATACCCATGGGGAGTAGATAGCACTAGTTTATTTTTATAAAGGGGGATAAAAGAGCAACGAGAGGCGTAAATTGGGGCGGGGGTAGGGGCAGTATAATTTTAATACGATTTTGTTTTGTTTGGCTTGGATAAAAAGTTGTATATTGATTACTTTAAAACGAAAATTAATTGTACTGAAATGTCAACCACTGTTAGAACATTTGTCAGTACTCTTCAGCTTGGGCTTTAAATTCAGATCCCAGTAATCCCAAGAGAATACATTTATACAATCTCACAGTGCAAAAATAAATATACAGAGAATGGATGTATGCGATAGGGTGCTGTTAATACAATACATTTGATCACTCACCCTATGCCAGGCACTGTTTCCAGCATTTCAAGTTTACTAACTCATTTAATCCTCAGAACAGCCCTCTAAAGAAGGTTCTATAATTATCTTCACTTTACAGATGAGGAAACAGCCTCAGACAAGTTAACTGCCCAAAGTCAGCTGGTGAGGAAGCGGGGATTTCAATCCAGGCAGTCAAGATTGTAACTAGATAAGAAAGAAAAAAAGTAGCCTGACAGCTGTCAGCTGGTAACAAATTCGGCATTAATAGAGAACTTGGTGTTCTCTTGCTTAAAATAAGCAATTTCACAGAACACCAACTTCAGTCAAGGTCATCTGTGACTGAGCCAAAACCACGAAACTCTAATCACTTCTGAGCACACACACAATCAAGAACGCTGTGCAAACCAGGATTAGTTTTTCAGTTGCATTTGGAGAATGGCTTCTAGTTATTAATCATTGAATCGAGTATTGTGTAGTTAAGAAATGTATGCAATCCATATTTTACTTGCAAAACCATTCATAGATTTAATTTAAAATTCCTGTCAAAATTATAAGCTTATGTACTATGCATATTCATCTTGAGTCCCCAAAATGTGACTTGTGAATAAAATATTCAGGCTATGTCACAGCTTTTAGTCACAATCCATATGTCAGGCACTAGGGTAAGGTGCTAGGAATACAAAAATAAATAAAACATGGGCATTTGCCCTCAAGAAAGTCACAGATTAATAAGGGAGACGAATAGATAAATACATGTAAAGTGAATAAGCGTGTTTTTATAATAGCTCAGTGGAAGCAATAGGAAGGACAAACAGCCGAGGAATCAGAATGTCTCACAGTTTTTGGTAGTATTTGATTGAAATCCCGAAAGATGAGTTGTTCTGCAGGAGGGAAAGGAAGGCTTTCTAAATAAAGAAAATAGCCTGCAGAAAGGTACAAAGACTTGAAAAAGTCTAGTGCAGTGGTTCTCAACCTGTGGGTCGCGACCCCTTTGGCGGTCGAACGACCCTTTCACAGGGTCGCCTAATCAATAAAATATATTAAAAAAAAAATAAAGGGCCAGAAGGTTGAGACCCATTGGTCTAGTGCAGGGGTGGGCAAACTTTTTGACTCGAGGGCCACAATGGGTTCTTAAACTGGACCGGAGGGCCAGAAGAAAAGCATGGATGGAGTGTTTGTGTGAACTAATATAAATTCAAAGTAAACATCATTACATAAAAGGGTACGGTCTTTATTTTTCAATAGTTTTATTCATTTCAAACGGGTCAGATCCGGCCCACGGGCCGTAGTTTGCCCACAGCTGGTCTAGTGGCTTTAAGGGACAACCAGAAATTTGGTGCGACTAAAAGTTGGGAAGGGAGTGTGCAGCAGAAAAGATGAGGAAAATGAGTTGGGTGAGGTTATGCATGTGGGTGATGAAAGGCTTTACCTGCTAATCTAAGGAGGGCTAATCTACGGAGCCCATTTTACCCCGAAATACCATGAAAGCAGGATTTTTTTTTTCTTTTTGATAGATGAAAAAATTAAGGCTGAGAGTGGCTGAATATAGTCAGCTTCCCATATCCATGGGTTCCTTATCCTTGGATTCAACCAACCAAAGATGAAAAATACTTGGAAAAAAAATGTTGTATTGTTGTTGATATGTACTGTGTAGCTAATTACGTATGATGGTTCCATCTGTAGTGACATATACAGACTTTTTTCTTGTCATCATTGCCTAAGCAATGCTATATAACAATTTACATGGTATTAGTTATTATGAATACTAAAGAGATGATTTAAAGTATACAGGAGGATGTGTGTAGGTTATATGCAAATACTATGCCAATCCCCTTCAGATACCGAGGGACAAATGTATGTATTTAGAGTGACTAACTGAATATGCATTTTGTAAATTATAAGTAATGCTTATATTATGTGTAATGTGATATTTTTAATGTATATTAGCCAGACCATATTCATTTCTATATTTAGTCTTGAGTGGGCAAAGGAAATTCCTGTCTTTTACTGATCCAAATTATTTTTAACCTGAAATAAATTATTCTAGAAAAGAAAATATCCTTTACACCTTTGCACAGGAGACCCTATTATAATTGCAAATTCTGAATTCAAATGGATTAAAAATTTATTTATTGAAGGAGCCTCAACTAGAGGGATTGTTTATTGCCTTTCTGCATTCAAATTATGAGTTTAATGAGGATTTTGTTTTGTTCACTTCCCTATCCTCTACATTTGGAGCAACTCATGGCAAATAGTAGGTAATCGGTTAATATTTGTTGAATGAACAATCTCTAGTCTCGTTCAATTCTTCAATTGTGTGACTTATTAAATAAATTAAAATCTTAGATATCCACAATGGAAATTTACCTCAAAATCAGTAAGTAACTAACATGTGAATTCTAGTTATGGTCTCCCTCACTGGAAACCAATGATATTGACTATGTTCGGAAAAGCCAGGAAGGTTTCGGCACTTTTCTAATAAAAATATATTGTTTTCAAAAATTGTTAATGTAGCCACTGGAGGGAGCTCACGCTTTTCTTTTTAACAAGAAAATTACACCAAGTTTACAATATGACCTCATACAAACTCATCAGGAAACTGGTACCAGAAGAAATTTTAGTTCTTTTCAAGGTTAACT